GATTTCAAAATATCAGAATGCTTGGCGACATCCCTGAAACAGAAAAGACCTACCTTGTAAAAAAAAAAGGTCTCAAAGAATTCCTATGGAAGAAAATGCGTGATTGCATCTATAAATTGCAGAGGCTGAGTTCTACTTATACTTATATACCGTTTACAATCATCCATTTTCTGCCTTAAATCAGCAATCTCTGCTTCCGCAGCAGCCAACATTTGTTGGGAAACGGCTTCTGCTTCATTTGCTGCCTTAACGCGCAACTCCAGATTTTGCTCATCAAGGGATGATTTCAAACTCTGAACATGAGCCCAAGCCCTGTACTCCTGTTCCTTGGCTTCAGCTATGTCCCTGCCACAGCACAATAGCGACAGTGAGGCTTAAGGCAATGTACTAAGCGCATTATAATAATGTGTGTTCAGCCAAGATAAGAAGATAAACAAATCCTAACACATCCAAAAGAGAATTTTATCAGATGGAACTGTAAAAATAGGTCAGATATTAAAAGCTGTCAAGGATAAATTGGCAATGTGAACATAAGTTTGTTCAGAAACGCAAGAAAAAAATTAACAACAAACTTACTGCAAGATTCGATAGTTCAGTCAAAAGGCAAGATTAATAACAGCACTTGTTGGTATACTATATATTCGGCCAGATAGAAGGGGAAGATAAGGAAACTTTTCTCTAAGAATTGAAATCTTAGATATCGACCACTGGATTTGTTACATATAGTTGTGCTTACCTCGGATCAGTGGACTCACGCTTATACATGTCCAGAAACAACTTTAATTCCTCATGACTGTTCTTCAAATCACAAACCTGCATGACAGACTCCAATCAATTGAAAGTAAAGAACATAACAACTACCTCTTTGCCAACCAAAGACATTTAACAAGATTTAAATTGCTAATCAGCCTTTTAGCTATACTTTTTCCAAGACATAATGCAAATAACAATAACCAATATGAACACCGTCAACATATAAGTCATGGGCAGTACACTGAAAAAGGTAAATATATTGCACCATACCGTAGCATTCAGGTCACCTAACTGAGAAGCATAATCAGCTGATGTCAAATGCAATGCTTCACACTCTTTTGTCTGTTCACCAATTAAGCTTATTAAGCATAACATAAATTGTAACAGCATGCATCAATCATTGTTCACATTATTTCCCACCTTCCTACATAGAACCCCAGAGAGGGACTGGACATCAGCCCGTAGAGAATGAATACCTCCAGCAGTCTCTTTATAATTGTCCAATTGATTACGCATGGAACTCATTTCCTCAGGGAACGAAGAAATTAATGCCTTCATATCTGCAAAGATTTCTTTTCTACCTGACATACAAATCACTTAATCAGACTCCAAAGTGAGACAGGGGTGGATGGGAGATACAGAATGAGAAGTCAAAGTAATCAATTTGTGACCTCGCTCTCTTGATATATTTCCCAGCCTAGTCTTGATTCGCATTTTTTCATCCAGTTGTTTCTGTATCACCGAATCTAAAGATGCCATTCTGGAATCAGCAACAGCAGAAGTCCTTCGAGAAACATCAACTAGTTCATTTTTTATATTCATCTCCCTTTCCTTCCAGACTATACTATCTTTTTCAACCTGAAATTTTCGAATGGAGGAAAGCTTCACAACCAAATATACAACATAAATTTTGTAAACATAGACACAAAATGAAAATCGCAATCCAGATATAACCTGCAGTTTCTCAAGTAAAGCCATATACTGGAAAACTGCTTCTTTGGATTTTTTTAGCTGGTCTTTCAAAGAAAGGCAGGCTTGAGAAGATGAGATGCACCTCACAGACTTTGACTTGTTCTGTTAGAAAACTCTTACATCAGTTTTAGCAATAGGAAGAAGGTACCATTCCACAAATTTTCATACATCAAAACCCTTGCAGAAATAAACTAATACATGTAGATTTACCAATTGGATCATACACTAACCTGTAAATTACTCATTTTTTCAAGCATCTTTGTCCTCTCCTCATGAAGATCTTTTAGCTCTTGTAGCCTGCCTGAAGCCAGGACCTACAGAATTCAGGCCGTTATCAAACCAAAACTCAAAGCATTACTAATAAAAACAAATCAGAAAAACAAATATACCGTTAACTCTTTCAGAACTGTTTCCATGTCATGCAGATCCCTTTGTTTATCCCTTTCCCTATCACTGGTAGCAAGCTTATTTCCAAGGCTCAACACTGGGAAAAACGCCCCTGCTGTTGCATCTCTTTCTGCTCTCAATGCTGACAAGTCACCATTACACTGCTGAAGCTCCACGACCTCATCCTCTAGCTCCCCTTCGAATAGACCGAATAAAGTATAATGTCAGTTAATACGGACGTCAAAAAGCATTAATCCTTAAGCAGGAATGTAAACTTAAATAAATTCATCTGTTTGAATTTTTTAACTGGCTACTGTCAGGATTGAAATCTCACATCATAAGGTAATCAGGTAATTTATCTCCAGATTTTAAGATGCTTCATTTATGTGGATGTATGTCATTCTCAAAGAATTACCAGCTTTTCTATCACCTAAAATGTATCGAAATTTATTAATATGGGTATCTCAAATGGTATAAAATAAATCTAAGAAGTTCATGTCTCAGAGGGGTTTTGTACACCCATAAGTTCACTAATGAGTATATCTTCCACAACTACATGTCTTGTTAACAGCTGGCTCTACCAAACAGGTTTTCTTCCAGTCTTAATATATCTCTCTCTTCAATCTTAATCTCTATGATCTAAATCCTATCATGGCTGTTCAACACCTGAGCAGTGCCAAGAGTGAAATTGGACGATTCACAATTTGATCACCTCTACTTACACTTATCCTCATCAATCAAAAGCGAGATATGATTTCAGTAGCTTTCCATGTATATAGATTAACCTTTTTCTGTCAAGGCACGCATATGAATACAACTTTATATTTGATGCATGGGTAAGATGTCCATATAAACAATGCCAACAAAAATATGCATTTAACAGTATATAGTCGAGTGAGACGAGACTAAGTAGCTACCTCTTATTCGTTTGAGGTCTGCTCTAACTTTAGCATCAGCATCGCGATGACTCTGCAATTCTCTAGAAAGTGATTTGAACTTCACAAGTACATCATCTAGATCCCCTCTGAAACTTTTAATTTCTGATTCCAACTCACTCAGAGCTAGCTGACCGCACAAATCTAGAAAAGAAAGCAATTCCATATAGGACCAGGGTTATAAAGGCCACAACAAGAGCTGACAATCGATCGCAGTGGAAGTCATACCTTTACCAAGACTGGTTCTGAGAACTGTGGGATAAAGGTCATCTTTCAGACACCTCAAATCATCTGTCGCGGCTACTAGGTTAGACAAGGTTTGCGTCATCTGGCTTGACGTATTCACTCCATTTTCTTCCATCCGATTCGAGCAGATATTGGATGAGGAGCTCTCAGTGGCACCAGTTTCGAGTAGCCGGTTGATGAAATCGTTTTTCACGGCTGGAGACGACCCATCTGCGTAGCAATTTACAGTTTTCCTTTCAACAAGTCATATTTGTAACATATAACACAAAATTTTAACTAGATCCTAGCACTAACAGAACAAAGAAGAGGCGGGCCAAGCTGTTCATACCCTCCTTGTTTACAAACCTATGAGCTCCGCTGCTTGAATCACTCACACGAACAGAGCATGATTCCACTGTAGCTGTAAGCTGCTAAACAAGCATTAACTAGATCCCTTAGAATTTTTTTTAGTTTTCTTTTGGTAGAGCGGGCAGGAGGAGAGGAACTAAAGTTATGTTAGAATCCAACGCGAATTCATTGTTACCTTTTCCCAAGACTTATGGACAGTCTTCAAACTGGAGCTGTATGGTAATTGTTTTTCCTTGATCTGAGAAAGTTTATCCTCAAGAATAGAACACTCAACCTGCTGAGCCTCTAGCTTTTGTGATAGCTGCAGATTTTGGAACTGAAGAACTGCAGTATCAAGCTGTATCAAACAAAAACAAACTCGCTAAGAGAGAATCCCAATTCCAAAATAGGTTCGAGGCATGGTCTAAGGTGTTGAAAAGTAACAGCTTTGATTAGATCGACAACACATGTAGTGAGTAAAGTCACGCTTAAATATCTTCAAAGCAATAACGAAAAGAGGCCAATGAAGTTAAAACAAAAGAAAACAAGTAGAACACAAGACATTCAGTGCGAAACCAGCATATGAATCTCTAATAGCTGGAAATCTATGATTGATTGGATAAGTAAGAGACATATATATATGTAAAGGGCATGCACAAAGGTAGATGAAGAAGAAAGAACCTTGTCCTCGGAGGAGGGCCAAAAGAAAGGTTGTTTCTTTACGGCGGCTGCAGCTTCAGAGGGTGATATAGAGCTAAAGTGACGCCTTTTACGGTCAGGCTCGCCTGTGCTCGCCATTCAAAAACCCTAGAATCGGCCAATAACAGGATTAAGCTTGTGTCACATCATCATCAGATTGAGTTTGAGGAAGCTCGAATACAAATCCCCCCAAACCCAATGAGAAAACCCTAAACGATCCAAGCTACGTGATTGCTTCAACCGAGGTAATTCAATTGCTCCGCAGCTCCCCTCGGAATTAAAACAAAAAAAAAAAACCCTAATCTCTCACCGGTCTTCCAAATTCGACCAAACTCTAGTCTTGTCTGATCTTTGTGCGACTAAAGATATAACAAACACCCAAAGCACTCTCTCGCCAACACACAGCACTCACAGAAACAAAAACAAGAGTGAAAAGAGAGAGAGACAGAGAGAGAGAGAGAGAGAGAGTTGAAGTTAATTCGAGTATGATGGCGTAATTTTGTGAACATCTGGAGGGCAATTTGGGAAATAAATGTCATTCCTATAAGCATCGGCCGTCCATAGAATCTCCAACGATCCGAGCCGTACGATCCCGGTTCCTTGAAGGAGAATTCAGAGAAAAACAAAACTAATTTTCGATTCTAAAATAAATCATCAACAATAAAAGAAAAAACAAGCAAATTAAGTAGTCTTTGTTTGTACTAATGTTGTTGTCGTGTGATTCAAACCTGATAGTAATTCTTGTGTGAACTGTATAGATCATACAGAAAGAAAAAAAATACAAACAAATACAATAGTCTTAAAAATAAAACAATTTAAAGTAGAAAGAACACAATCTGTGGGTTATCAATCGTTTTTGGTCGCAAGTTTTTGTTGCTTCTCTTCCTCAACTTGGACAAGCAATGTCAAGAGAGCCTCACAAACTTGAGCAGCATCAGCTTCTAAAGCAACCTCGTTTAAGGAAGAATAAACCATCCAGGCATGGTCTAGTTTACGTTTGGGTCTAACAACCACAGAACCAGGAACCTCTGCGTCACAGCAAGTCACTAGCCCGTCACTCTTTTCACCGTATCTGACTTGAAGCAGCTGAGCGCAAGCAGCCATTGCAGCACCTAGTGGCATTACCACTGGCAGTTTTGCGGCTTGGTTTGTCAGAGGAAGTTCAGCATGTGCTACGTGTGACAAAGTGGCTAGAACCGCTGGACTAATGCTAGCTTCTGTGCGGAATGAAACCGTGGGGAGTTCTCGGGGAAGCGGATGATTCTTCAAGAACTCTTTTCTTCTCTCGTAGGTTAAATCTTCCAAAGCTTGAATGTCACCCTTCACAATGTTCCAAGGAATTCATCAGAAAGATCAGAAGAGTAATAGAATCTCATGGGAAATATCCAAATGTGTCATTTTGGGATAGTAAGTTATTGCAATCATCACTTGCATTTGTTCACACAAACTTACTTATACCTTTACCAGTTAGTATGGGAGCTTTAGATATAAATGTTTGGTCATAAATACAGCCCAAAACAAATCTCATGGTGCTAGTTGCGGTAAATGTTCCAGGTGCTATTATTTAGTTTATCCCTAGTTTCTCACCCCCTATATTCGACTCCATCTAACCTAAGGATTTTAACAGGTAATCACAGGAAGCTGATATAATGCAACTGAAATGACTTTGTTAGATCAGGAAGAGACATGTTGCAAACCTTTATGACTTTGGAGATCAGAATCTCCATCATCTTCCTCAAATTGACGTAATCACCTAGTTGTCCTTCACGGAGGATATCTGTAGCTATTGGACTTCCACCATATGGACTCTGCGCTAATACCAACCCAGCGACCTTATCCTTTAGATCAGGCCAGTATAGTGATAAAGCAGCAGCTGCATCTATGCCTCCTTTGCTATGCCCAAGAAGTAGAACCCGCTTATTAGATCCCCAACAGAGTTCTTCTATGTATTCCTTTATCTCTCTTGCATTTTTCTCAACCGAAGACTGATATATAAACATTTTCCATATATCAGTATGATTTACACCAAACGTAATTGTATTAAGTTGAGTTAGTTATGTATGATTACCTCGCTGTGAATCTTCGCAATATGACAGGCCAAACCCATCTTTGAGAATTTCGTTTTCGTATCCACAAAATATAGAGGTCCATGATTGCTGAAAAGACCTGAATTTTTTTTTCCAACAAATGTTGTGAGTCCAACAATATAAAGTAATAAGTGGCTGGCAGCAAAGAATAAGAATTGCTACCTGGAACCAACAAGTACACCACTGTATTTGGAAGCCTGTGTACACCATGCCTGGATATGAATAACCGATCAACGCAGTCATTCAGTAAAAACAGGATGTTTAAACAGCATATTAAAAAGACCCAAGTACATAAAACATGTAACTACAACCAAATTCATACCCAATGTCCTCCAGAATTTTATTGAACCTATCAGTTCCATCTTCAACAGGAGGCATCTCCGGGTCACGCTGTAACCATCCTATGTCATCTGCCGAGCCACGGACAGTCCTCCGTGCCCGCTCAATGAGCCTGATTGAAAGAAAATAGATCAATCACCCAAATGCTGAAAACTTGACAAGAAGTAGTGTATAGAGATTATTAATATTGCTTCAGATTCACATATTCATAGTATTGCAACAGTTTCACATATTCATAGTATTAACATTTTTCATATCTCCTAGTATGGGAAATTTGTATCTGTCATATAAAGAATACATACCCTTGGAACATCGAAATTCCATTAAAACCTAACCGATTCGAAGTCACTATTGCATTTGTTGCCTGCGGCAGAGTCTCTGTAGATTCCCTCGACGGGCTGTTGGCAGCAGACGTAGATGCCTCTGAAGAAGTTGAAAACCTTTCACCAGGCGAAATGCATACACTCACTGGGGAATTCCCATCAACTCCTGATGTTGATCTTATCAACTCATGGGGGTGTGAAATAGAATTACAGGAATCTTTGCCACCATATTCAACTGGAGAAAACATTGGAAGAACAGATTCTAAGCAAAAGCCTGAATTATGTTACGGTGACGAGGTCGCTATATAGTGAACGAAATAAGATCCTAAAGCCATAAATATCTGCTAAGCCTTTTTTCCATAATTAAAGCCTAGCAGATGAACATGGAATTGCATGCCGAGTACAAGATCAACAGAGAGAAAGGGTACCTGAATAGTCAGAAAAACAGCTGCCCAAATAAGACGTTGCTTGGGTTATATAGGAAGCAGCTTCATTGAGAGCTGGTAAAGAATTAAACACTTGTGGTGCAACCGCATTGTCCCCAGTTCCACCGCCCTTGGCCACGGAAAAATTACTGATATTAGAAAGGCAGTCTCAATGCATAACATCTTTTTACTAATATCCTCTTGAACCCCATCTTAATCAACTTAATTGTTTCAGCTGATACAGAATCCTTATTACCAAGAAAACGTTAAGTTGACTCCATACAGAATCCATTAACATGAGCGCACAAAGCAAGCATAGGTTCTGAAAGTATTATCTAAAAAGTGAAAAAAAAAAAAAAAAAAAAAAAAAAAGGAAGTCATCAGGGCACAATACTTACAACAAGAGGCGTGACAGATTCTCCGTCTCTGGATTGACCAGCTTCTCCCATTCTGATCAATTTCTAAAAACACAAACAAACACAGAATCAAATAAAAGCAACAGAAGTGAAAAAATAATTAAAATGTTTCCTATATTCATGCCAATGAAACAACAACAAGTAAAGAAGAATTACAAAGACTAAGCCTCTGATTTCAAAATTTAAGCTTCCATGTTTCTTCTATAAATTCGGAAAGCACCGATTTAAACTGATTAACGAAGGTTACTTAACATGTAAAAATACCAAATCCAGAAGAAAAAAAAATTAGAAAAGAAGACGTAAAAAAAAGAAATCCAGCGGGAAGAGACTCGAATCCGGTTAATAAAATGGCAAGCAAAATTAGGAATTGAGAACATGCAAGTGTGAAAGCACAGAAGCTCTATGTATCGACCCCTAAACTTTTCCATCAATGACAAATAAAACAACAAAGTTGATGACCGGATCCAAAAATCGGCAACGAGTTTGCGAAGAAACGAATCAGGAAGAAGAATCAACTAATCAGAATTCGGGAAACGAAGAAAAGGTACCTGGAGCTTTAGGAATGTGGGATCAAAACGAAACATACGCACAAGGAGACAGTTTCTTCAACGATTCGGATCATTATTTCCTTAAGCCGCGGGGAATAGAAACCTGGTGAACAAATAGAAACGCGATTTCAATTTTGACGACCAACGTGGAACCAGAGGCACTGGAGACGCAACACGTGTAAATTGGCTCAGTGAACAAGATTAGGCTTTGTAATATTTAATTATTAATTCCTATGGGCCACTACTGGGCCTAATTATAGGCCTTGCAACAACAAAACGACATCGTATTACATGCACATACATTGTCAAAACTCAAAAGACTTGAGATAAGCATCAGGGAGATCGACGGTAGTAGTACCTACAAGAAAGAAACAAAAATGGTCGAGATGAGTTTGCTTTCGGATTATTCAAAAAAAAAAGAAGACGGCCGACAAATATTAAAACTTACACGAATATTTTGACGGCGAAGATGGAGGAGTATTTGTGAAGAAGACGCTCAACAGTGTACCATTGAGATCGGTCTGATCCGTCTTGGTAACCAATACGTGGCATGTGGAGTGAAGCTTTTGAGGAGATAACATTACAATACCAGAATGAATGACAACATAAGTGTTAAGCTCTTTGGGAACACTTTTGTTTTTAATTCCAAATATGATGAAACTTTAAAGAAAGCAATGAAGTTTTCGTACCTGATTTCTGAGAAGCGGAGAATGAAGCTTTGGCTAGGCAACTTTCAAGGTCTGGAATTGAAATGCTACTACGTGGGACTTTACGCCTCGGGTTATAAGATTGTGTTACTGCAACTGCCACCCAAAGAGGTTTACTTTCTTCTGTGTTTTGTTGATCATAACTGTCTGCACAACACAAAATAGATGATGTTATTAGAAAATCCGAAAGGAAGATCAGAAAAAGAAAAAAGTTGCAGACCATCAATTTTTATGAGATGCAGGTCTCCAAGATGGAGGTCTTTAAACTCAGATGCTCGGTGATACGCATCGGGTACAGTATTAGAAAGTTTTGACAGAGCATCAAACATTCCACCACGTCCCCAGTTTCCAGAGTCATCAACACAGCTGCCATAAATCAATACAATTTGGAAGTTTTAGAGCTACTTGAGATTTGGTATTTTAGTAGAGAAATTAAAATGTAGTTTTACCTGAATATGATTGCTGGCTCATGAGAGACTGTCGATGGATTTGTACAGTCTCCAAAGACAAAGTTAACAGATCCTGCATCTGAGCTGGAATCAACATCATCAGGGAAGATCGGTTCTTCCACAGACAAAGAACGATAACCGTGTGCTTCCCAACTGGCTAACTTCTTCTCTTCTGCCTTTTTCCTGGCAGCCTCAATTCTCAGATTTCTTTCCTCAGATAAGTTCTTTCTATTTCCCAACTCAATAATTTTCTCATCCTTGCTTGATCGTGAAGCTTTCTTCAATTTCTCAACCCATGAAAGGTAAGAAGCTTCATCAAGCTCGGAATCCAGACATGCCGATGATAAATTTCCTCGCAAAGTGTCGCTCGAATCAATTTTAAACTTTCTAGCTTCCTTGTCCGGTTCAACGTTTTGACGTATTGCAACAACTTTCTCAGCAAGAGAACTTATTTCTACCATTTTCAGGTTATCAGACTCTTCGCTGTGAATCTCCTCGGGATCAAACCTTTGTAAACCAAACACTAGAGACCGCAAATCACCACGATCTTCGTCTTTCTCTTCCATATTATCTCCCACAACATTATGACTAAGCTGCAACTTTCTCTCTGCCCTCCTCAAAATAACCTGAAAACACACGCATCTAGATTTTGATAATACTTTTTGATGACTTTGTGTTTGGAAACATTACGACAGACCTCTTCCACAGAATGTTCAGTAACGAGGTTTATAGACAACACATGACTGATTTGTCCAATTCGATGAGCTCGTTGCAAAGCTTGTTTATCCACCTGTGGGTTCCAGTCTTGTTCATAAAATATAACCTGTAGATTAAAAGCACTTGAATAAGCACTAGAAACATATCATACTTATCTTCTCTATGCCGATGTATTCCATTTCCGCAAGAAATAATATGGAAAAAAAAGCCAGAAATAACGAACAGTATCAGCAGCAACAAGATTCAAACCGACTCCCCCTGCTCTTGTAGAGATCATAAAAACAAAGGCATTGCTTGCATCAACTTCAGAATCCAATCCTCTTTCTGATTTTGCACTGAAATTCTTTATCGCAGCAAATCGTTCTTCAGCCCGTACTGATCCATCAAGGCGCTCATAAGAATATCTACGAAGCTCCATAAAATCCTGTATTTGTTATAAGGTACATATAAGTGTAATCAATGATGCACAGATGTTACGGAAAATAATATATCTCTATAACTAAACCTGCAAAATGTCAAGTGTTGAGGTCATTTGGGAAAAGAGGAGGACACGATGACCAATATCATGGAGCCTCTTGAGCAATTGATCCAAAACAAAAAGCTTACCACTTGCCTGTTAGAACGCAATTATTAGTAAACAAAACTTTTTACTCATTGAAAACATATAGTGAGGATTGTTTAAGTAGTTAGTTAGTGAACATTTGGGATACCTGAACAAGGTGTTCACCCTCTTCAAAAGGTTCCGGTTCAATACCTGGAAATAAGTAAGGGTGGCTACATGCTTTTCTAAGCTGTATCACCTACTCAAGGAAAACAGATTAGAAAATAAATAGAAATCACGTATCTTTCACTAAAAGCAATTTATGAAATAAATTGAGCTAAGTGATAATAAACATCAGGAAGTAACTCACAATATTTTGTAAAGATGTATGATTGGATCCTCCAGAAGACAGTGCGAGAAGCCCTGGAAGCTCTTTCCTCAATATGGAAGTATATATCTTCTTTTGAAGACTGACGAGCGGAACCATTCTATCATGAAAATACAGAACAATAAGTTAATCATACAATATAAATAGAGCACCCACAAGTAATTTTACAGGAAAGGATTAGCAATACAAGGTACAAGATTTTACACAGTTAGCTCCGTGAGAGGTGGCAACACCAGATTTCCAGACTCAATGAGCAAAGATTTTGTACGCCTCAGCATAAAGGCACCTAAGATGAACTTCAAACTCTTATATGTTTCCTTGTCATTAGATACATCAAGACCTGTTTTAACACGAGGGAACGCACAAGTTAGTTTAGACCTCTTACGTCTTCCAAATGAATATCCACACAAAAATGTCAAGAGTACGTAGCGCACTATATGGCTACTGCGAGCGAACCTGATAGACCCTCCCCAGTCTCTTTGAATGCGACAAGGAACTGGTCCAGTGCCCCAAAAACTAGTGGCATGCAAAAATGCATCAGAGCCCAAAGTTCGGTAAGATTGTTCTGAATAGGTGTGCCAGTAATCAAGAGACGTCGTGGAATGAGGAATTGGTCAAGTAAGACATTATACAGAACCTGTGACATAGCCAACTTTTATCTTAGATGATTGCCCAGGATAAAATGTTCATACAGCCAGGACACGTAGAACCTAATTACTAACCAAACAGGTTTTTAACTATAGAAGCGTAAAGAAGGTGTCTACTCTATTATGGTACAATAAAACCAAATGATATCTAGCAACTAATGACCTATCATTCAGTGCACAAGTCAATGGATTGTATAGTTAGACATAAGTGAACCATACACTGTTAGGATTCTTGAGTCTTTGAGCTTCATCAATTATAGCATAATGCCAAGGGATTTGAGAAAGAAAGTCCTGATCGACCAGTGCTATGTCATATGTTGTCAACAACACATCAAATGGTAACAAATGTCCCTGAAAACAAAATAAAAGAAGGCTATAAATAATACACAAAACTTCCAAACCCAAGTTCATAAGAAGTAACTCAAAGACAATTTCTTTTGTCTCTCGCTTGACTATCTAAATGACTAAGTTCAAAACTCACCTTAGAACTCTTCTTGACATGATCATACATTGACTTACGCATATCCCGACGGCAATACTTATCACCAACATATCTAAGAACTTCAAGATTTGGAGTGAACCTATTTATCTCTGACACCCAACCATCCGTTACGCTCAAGGGACATAGCACGACTGCCACAGATTAAGCATAAACTTTATTAGCCCACATGACATCAGAAATTTCCTACTGAATCAGAAAATGTAACAAGCAGATCTCATTGACTCACGAAATGGCCCAGGCAAGCCTTGATGAAACTTCAAATAACTCAGGAAAGAAATTGCCTGGAGAGTCTTTCCCAATCCCATCTGGTCCAATTCTTCAATTAGACTAAACACACACCAACACAATCAAAGATAACATTTCAAAAACGATGGAAGTACCTCGTCTCCTGCAATTAGAATCAACCATACAAGAATTAATCGAAGTTCGTTTACTTTGATATTTGCATTATCTTAATCAAACTATCCTATACTTGCGCACAAAGAAGGATCTGAAATGGATTCAAAGACTTACCGAGAACGACATTGACGCCGAGTAGATATTTCTGTATAAGCCAAGAGACACCTTCGACTTGGTGAGGCTTCAGAGTCGCCGTGACCCCAAATTCTCTACAATCCGGAGGTGATTTCGCCTCCTTCTCGAGTATAAATTTCGCCGCCGCTTCAAGTCGCCGTTCGTACTCCATCGTGGAGGGGACTTTTGGCGGTGAACTCTCTTTTGACATTTTCCATTGTCATAGGCTGCCGTTTCGAGGCAGAGAACCGGAACCGGTTGAACCGGGAATTAACCAAGAGACAGGAAAAGGAATTAGAAGCTCAATACAACGACGTCGTTTAGGTTATCATTATACACTAGGATCGGACCGCGGTCCACCGCGGGAGAATATTAGTTTACATACGTTGATTTTAATATTGTCCGTGTTTTAAGTAGAATGAATCGTGTAGTGTACTTATAAATATTCATAATAACGAATTGTAGAGAAAATGTTAAATTGTTTATAATTAAACCGATCATATTAATTATGATTACAAAATAGAATTTTATGTTTTAAAATTCTAAAATTAGATGATTCATAGGAATTAGAGCAGTCAAAATAGGTCAAAAACCGTCTCGAGCCCAAATCATCTCATTATGGGGCAGATTTGGGAAAATAT